TATATATATATATATATATATATATATATATATATATATATATATATATATATATGTATATATTTAAACACTGAAGTAATTTTATATTTTACTCGCAATTATATATTTTTTTATCTGGCTTATATTGGCATGAAAATTCTTCAATAATTGATTATTTGAGAGCCTTAATACTAATCGTTAATTGATTTAAAAAAAAGACAATAAAGAACTGTGTATGAATTTTATATGTATATATTTATGTGTACATCTTATATGTATATATTTATATGAATTTTATATGTATATATTTATATATACAGGGTGACACCGAACAAGATGGCCAAACTTCGGTATCGTATTCTACTCTTCCCAAGGATGAAAAAAGGTCATATAAACATAGGTCCGGAAACTCGTTCTTTTCGAGATATAAATATTTTTTTGTTTATGATTAAGTATTGTAGGAATATTTAAACCTTATTTAAAGAAATTGCTGGAAATGATTTCCTTTTGCAATAATACATGTTTCACATCGACGTTACAAAGACTGTTGAAGACATCCAAAAATTCCTGGTGCATTCCGAATTTTATCAAATGCGACTATAAAAAGGACGAGTTTCCGGACCTATGTTTATATGACCTTTTCTCATCCTTAGGAAGAGTAGAATACGGTACCGAAGTTTTGACCACCTTGTTCGGTGTCATCCTGTATATAAAAAAATAGAACACAAAAGAAATATCTCGATTAATTAGGATATATATGGGCGAGTTTTTTAATTCATCGATGGATCCATCGATGAATTAAAAAACTCGCCTTATTTCGCAAATATGACATTTCATTCAGAAGTTACTTTTCGCGCGAAAACAATAGTTTTTCAAATATATTATCCAATTAACGACTTTTGTGATTAACATAAATTTATTATTACTTAATCTTGATTATAGATGAATTCCAGTGAATTTTTAATCTCAAAGCAGTATAGTATAGGTAGTATTAACGCAGACGTCCATTTCTGAGTTGAAATTTTAGTCTTATTTTGGACCTAAACTTTTTAACATTTGTATATCATGAAGGATCAGTGTATGCTTAATACACATAAAAACTAGTTCTATTTATTGTCTCTAAATGGCAAAAATATACAAAATACTATTTGTAGGTTCTAAAGAGAGAGATGACCTCTTGATAAAGCTGATAGCAAGCTGGTTAAATAAAATCTTTTTTAACCTATTTCTAATGACTCTGTTGCGTTAATTTTGAGATCGTTACAGTAAAAGGAAAGTTTTCGTCATATTAATGACGGTGATTTCATTCATAATTCAATAATTCAATTCATAATATATATTCAATTTCGGATATCCATAATTTAATTTCGAAATATTTGACAAATGTGTTCATAATCAATGCCATTATATAGAAATATCCTTTTACTTCAACATATCTCGCAAGTATTTTGGGCACACGTTTTTCCGCTTCCACCATCATAAATCAAGATGGCCGTGGTGAAGAAATAGTAGGCTCAAGGCTTTTAAATATTCCATCATTGAGAAATTTCAAGCCAAGCCCCGCAGGGGCAAGATGATAGCCGCGAATGAAATAAAATTACTCCGCTTTTTATGGAACTCTGCGGCTCGCCCTCTCCGGTTCCACCCACGGAGAACTCTGCGTCTGGTCGCATCCCGCGCACTCGATAAACGTGTTGCACCGTGGGCTTGCGGAGGCACGATGTCTGCTTGGAGGCTTGGGTCTGCGCGAAGAAAATGTAATAACGCGTCTTCCCTCGGAGGCTTCTGCCGCGCCACCGGAAAATCATTTGTAAAGCTTACGGACATCGCCTCGGGCGACGACACCTCTTGCCGGCCATCATCGATCTCGATTACGGGCGTTGGATTAAAGCCGGACGGAGATAACGCCGGGGGGACCATATACGTATATATATACATACATACGGTGAATTTCTCCAGGTTGCGCTAATCGAGCGATCGTTCAACGTCCATCTCGTTGACAGGATGACGCGCGTCCTGTTCCTGCCGCGGAGTCGCCTCGGCGTGTATCGCGTCGACCCACACACACACGGAGACGCACACGTGCGCGCACGTACGCACGCACGATGACGAGAACACGAGGCGATAAACAGCGGCTTCTCCCGTATCGGAAGAATATTTAAAATGTCAACTCACCCTCCCCCCCGTGCCCGGCGACGCAATATTCACCGCGAATATTCACTCGCTGGTGCGGAACATCGCGATAGCAATTTTCGTCGCGACGCGCGCGATCGAAACCGTCGATAAACGTTGTCCCTTCGACGGTCGGCCGGTGCGTCGTGCGTTAGCCGCGAGCGAAACGCCGGCACTTTATCATGAGGGCTCTATTGTCTACTTTACATCGAATGTTTGATACGCGTACTAAACAGTGACTTTCTATTAAATAAATTTAATATTGACAATATATATCAACAACGATGCATTCAGTTGATACGTCTTCTTGATGAGTATCATACTACAATATCGTTGCATAATATATACATCGTCGATATTAAGATTATTTAATAAAAAATTATTATTTAGTATGTGTATCAAACGTTTGGTACAAACTAGACGGAATGGACGGAACCAAACTTGTCCGGGATTCGACACTAAAGTCACAACATTAGGACTGCATTCCAAAACGTTCTTTTTGAGGACATTTTATTCGATATTCTACAGTATATATAACATGAATTATAAATACTGAGTAAAATTTTTCTTAAAAAGGACGTTTTGGAATGCAACATAAAGCTGCGTTCCGATATTTATCGCTAGTTATGAAAATTTATAGTATACGTAACACGAACTATAGATTTTTAGTATTCTGTTTTTAGAATAACTATATTATATATAGTTACTAAATATATATTTATATATATACTATATATTTAATTGAATCAAACTATTCACTATTTATTCCCTTTTTCATTTAACATCCTTTTTTCTTGTGGACATATATGATTCCATTGTGACTATCTAGAAAGAAAGAGAGGGAGAGAGAGAGAGAGAGAGAGAGAGAGAGAGAGAGAGAGAGAGA